GAATTACTTTTTATATCGTCAAATTTGGTAGTTTGATTTTATTATTTCTGGATTTTGTGGTCATGATTCATAGCATACGTTCATAAAAGTTAAAAAAAGTTCTTTATTTTCTTCCAACATAAAGTTATTAATTAGTACATTCATTATTTGCTAGGAGATCTATAGAAATCATGAGTAGCTTTTGGGCTTTTCTGCATATAAAAGTATAAGTATCATATTATGTAATAATTCAAGTAATTATCCTTATTTAGTAATGTTTAATGTACTTCTTTTTTCACTTCACAGATTCTGTCAAATTTTAAGAACAAATGCACCTTATAGCTCATGGAAGAAAAAACACAAATCAAGACATTTTTGGGTTCCAAGTTGCCAAAGTATGGATCAAAATCTGTAAGAAGTACATTGCAGCCAATGTCAAATGGGACTCCTGTTAATTTATTAGGAACTTCCAAGAATAGTAACATCAAAAGTTACATCAAAAATAATGGCTCTGATTGTTCATCATCTCATTCATTTAATTGGAGAAAAAATAAATACCAACTTTGTGCACAAGGTGCCGAAGAGCCTAACAATACTCAAAATTCACGTGATAAAATAATTGATCCTGAAAAACTTGTTCCTACTCAAGGAATGTTTGATAAAAATGGGGTAAAGGGAGGTTTGAAAAGTGTTTCATTATTCACGTCAAAGTTAGCAAAGCCATCCACTATGTTAGTGTCATCAACAGAGGAGTTAAACCAAAAGTCTTTTTCTGGACCATCTAATTTGGGTAAATTTACCAAAGGCACATTATTAGGAAGGACTTCATATTCTTCGGTCAATACTCCAAAATCACAGTTGAATGGATTTTATGGAAACCGGTCAGCTAGTAGCATGCAAAGGCCTAGAGCAAACTCCTGTGCCACCGGAAGCAGTTCTGGTGAAAGCTTAGCTCAGTCCCCAGACAGTAGTAAACCTATTAATTGTGAAAAAATGGTAAGGTCACAAAGTTTTTCACATTCCATTCAGAATTCATTCCTTCCACCTTCATCTATAACCAGATCACATTCCTTTAATAGAGCTGTGGATCTTACAAAGCCTTATCAAAACCAACAGCTATCCATTAGAGTGCCTCTACGGTCAAGTATCCTAACAAGAAATTCCCGGCAGTCGGAAGTACTCAATGGGAGTGAACATTTGGGGTATGGGTTTAATAGGCCTTATGCTGCTAGTGGAAAGAAGTTGGCTATACCAAATGGTCCAGGTGTAACTTCTACTTTAGGCTATAGAATGGTTCATCCCTCTCTACTGAAATCTAGCCGATCTCCATTGTCTGGGACTATCACAGTTGATGGAAATCAAAATTCACCTGCTGACACATATGTAGAAGAAGATGCTACAGTTTTGGCTGAGGACCGAGCTACTAATAAGGACCAAGAACTGATTGAAAATGAAAGTTACAGAGCAAAAAACAACCAGAGCATGAAACACGATGCTAAAACGAGATACCTGAGTGATGATGTGGATGACATTTCCTTGTCTTCTTTGTCATCTTCTGACAAGAATGATTTAAGTGAAGACTTTAGTGATGATTTTATAGATATAGAAGACTCTAACAGAACTAGAATAACTCCAGAGGAAATGTCTCTCAAAGAAGAGAAGCATGAAAATGTGACACCACAGGATATATTTGATTCCCCCAAGGAAAATGAAAAAGCTCTCAGTAAAACTGATGAATGGATAGACATAAATGTCTCTGGTAAATATTACTAACCTTAAGTTTCATTGCTTTCTTTTAGATAATATAACTGAACTTACATTTAGGATTATCTTCAGATAGATTTCAAGGTACTATCAGTTTTATGGAAGGATGGATCTAGACAAAATTGGAGCAGGGTAACATTTATTTTCCTTGTGGCTTTTGCTCCATACCCCATTTTTCACTGTATCTAAAACAACGTTAATAAAACCACTCTTATCTTTGTTCTTTGCCTGTTATACACAGGCTTATTCCTGCTTAGTATAGACAGTACTTCGAAATTACTTTTCTCCTACTTACCTCAACCAGTGGTATGACATTTATCAAACCATCTCTTAGGGTAGCATATTATCACTATTTGTTAAGAGTAAAGCTGTGCCAAAGGGTAAAATGAGATAATATAGATTATGTCTAATCTGATTGATTTTTTTTTTTTTATTCTAAAAAATTTTTCTTGTTTAGCAATTTTTGTAGATACACATCCAGGGGGAGCTTTATTTATTTTTTAAACTGAAGAAAGTGAAATATTTGTTAAACATTTACTCTTATGTTTGGTTATCCTGTTACTAAATGCTACAGAAAATGTATTTGGTGTGTGTACTCCCCTGAAAATAGAACAAACTGAAGGGATTGGATATAGACATGTGGTATGTCCAGTCCCTTCAGTTTGTTCAGTTTGTCCCCTGGTATAATCAGATAAGTGCATAGAAATGCATGTACAAACCACCCTTGATTGTCTATAGGTCTTCTAAAAGTGACTGCCAGAATAAGTTTATTTCCTTATATGGAGGCAATTATGAGTACCCTACATTATTTAATCTATGACATTAAATAGTGTACACAGAGGAAAAGGAGCTTCCTGGCCAATGTTTAAAAATAAATATCTTGGGAAACATAGGAATATGAGGCTTTACTTACATTTTTGGAAATATTACAGAAGTGAAAGATTACTAAGTAAATTTTCTTTTCGTCTATTAGAAAATATTTCAGTAGGTTATTTTAAAGATTTTGCCTCTTGATGTTTTCATTGCTTAGGATATAGAATACCGTTATGAGTGCTTTTTTTTTGAGCCAGCTTTTTTGCTATGATATATCAAATTATATGTACTTACATTTTTCAGACATGAGAAACAATTATATTTTTGTCAGTCAGTAATCTTTTCTCTCTCTCTCTTTAAATGAATTGAAGACAGGAGTGAATGTACAAAACATGGTTCTGGGAATAATTTCGTTTCACCGGATACAGACTACAGAGCTGGTTCTTCATTTGAACTCTCTCCATCTGATAGCTCTGATGGAACATACATGTGGGATGAAGAAGGCTTGGAACCCATTGGAAATGTCCATCCGGTTGGGAGCTATGAGTCCTCTGAAATGAACAGCATAGTATGTATGGATTTATATACTCTTGGAACATTTTGTTTACCCTATTAGAGAGAGATTTGTGCTATGATTGATTTTTCAAAAAGTTATGAGTTAACTTTACTACTTTGAGAAATGGAAATTCATGTCTCTTCAGAGCCTATTAAATATCTGACCCTAGTAGGAAATAAAGCATGAGAATATATGACATTTGACTTAAATACACTCAACATTTTACATAGATATTTGTCATATGTACATACATATGTACATTCTATATTAGTAGGTTAATCTATGCCAGTGATTCTCAAAGATAGTGGGGAGGAGCTCAATACGAGGTGGTTTTGATTGTCATATTGATGAGGGCTTGTTGGTATCTAGTGGGTAGTTGGCAGGGATGTTGTTTAGCATCCCACAGTGCACAGGACAGAGACCACAATGAATTATTTATCTAGCCTAAGATGGCGGTAATCTGGCTGTTGAGAAACATTGGCCTGTGCTCTACTGAGTTAACATTGAAGTGCCATCTCTCAGTGGGATAACATAATAAAAGTTTGTTATTTACTCTTAGAAAATCTGTTGTGGGTCTGGACAGCTCTCTAGGGCAGCTGCCTTTAGTGATCCAAGCTGCTATGATTTTGGGACTTGACCATCTTTTGAGGTCCCTTCTTGTCACTATGACAGAGGAAGAGAGTGCCAGAGAGTCTCACATATATAATTACTTGCATTGGCCTGCAAGCAACACCTGGCACTTCCATTCATGATCTGTTGACCAGAACTAATGTGGTCCCACCTAAGTACTAAAGACAGGAAGTGTAATCTTCCTGTGTGCCTGGAAGGCAAGGGAACCACGTATGGGTGTTAGAAGATCTACCTTGAATTTATATGTGTGTATTTTAAGAAACACAACAAGTAATGTAGATAATGTGCCATATAGGTAAAGTATAATTGGTATGTTTAAAGTGACTCATTGGAATTATTCAGTATATAAAATATCATTTTCCAATAGTTGTATGGGAAAATTGGTAGTCTTTGTTGGTATATTAAATTCCAACTGGATTTTAGGCAGTATAATTTTCTATACTCCTATAAATCTTTTATTTAAAAAAGCCATTGTTGCCAGAGGCTTAAATTGCATAAAGCTTTTTTTAACCTCTATCAACACCTTTTATACAACCATTTAATCTAGAGAGAGTATCTTCATCTCATTAGATAAAGGAGGCTCAGAAAAGGTAACAATTTAAGACCTTTGTCTTACTAGGACTTTTAGGCAAACATGATTGACGTGCAAATGAACACGATGTCCAGCAGATGGCAGGAATAAACCACTCAGTACCCGACTGTTTTTAGAAGCTAACAATCTTGAGTTTATTGTTTAATCACAAAATAGCTTTCTCTAAAAGAGTTCAGAATGCATCTGGATTGACCGTTAGTCCTTAAGATCCATGAGTTTCCTCCTTGTTCAGTAGGTTTATGTATATGGTATGGGAAACAACAAAAACATTCATTCTTTGGAACAAGACAGTGTTTCTGATCTAAAGAGAAGACAAAGCCTGAGAAAGGACAGAGAATTGATGGGAAAAGTTGAGAACAGTGTGTTGAGTTCTCCTACAGTGATATTGGAGTTACCGTTTTTGCTTTGAAGTTCTGTGAATTTTTTGTTTTGTGTAAATTTTAGGCTTATTTTGTTAGGTGTGTACCTGTTCAGATTTTTTTTTTTTTTTTTTTTTTGTGAATTTGACTTTCCATCATTATTTGGGGATCTTCTCTATCTCTAATTATGTTTTTTGTTTTCAGACTTCTTTTCCCCAGATATTAATATAACTTACCAGTTTTATTTATATTTTTTCCCTTCTTTTACTATCAACCTTTTTGATATGTAGCAAATAGTTTATTTTGTTAACATTTTCAATTTTTCTTTCTTTTGACTAGCAAGTTCAAGTTTTTTATGTTTGCATTTATTGATATACTTGGACTTTATTCTGCCATCTTATTATTTTTATTTAACTTATCCTTTTTTTTCTGTTTTTCTTTTTTCCCCCCTAAAGTAGTTCAAAATAGTATCTCTAACTTAATCTAAAGACCTTTAGCATATTCTCACTTTTTTTGGTCTCTACAACACTGCTTCTTCTAGTCCAGGTCAAGATAAGGAGCTTTCACTAGAATGTACATCAACAACGGTGTCACTTCTGACACAGCTTAGTTCCACCTACTATTTATTTCTGCTGACATTGTTTTTATAGTAAGTCTTCCTTTTTAAAAGAAACAGTGCCTTCTTGTTCCTTTCAGTCATTTTCTTACTCTGCAAGAACTTTATATAAATGAAGCCATAAGCATGTACTAGTTTATGTCTGGCTTCTTTCATTAATATGTATTTGTGAGTTGTAGTTTCTTTATTCTTGTTGTATCATATTCCTTTATGTGAAAATACTACAACTTATCTTATTGTTCATGGGCATTTAGGTTGGTTCCAGTTTCTAGCTATTAGAGTATGCACTATTGTGAAGATTTTGATGTATGTTTTTATTGGTGAATATTTATTCATTTTTGGTGGGAAAATGTGTATGAGAGAGATTTCTGGGTTATAGGCCATGCTGTTGTATAAAGATGCTGTCGGTTTTTCAACGTGATTTTGCCTGTTTACACTCCTCATTGGCAGTAAATGAACATTCTAGAAATTTCACCTTCTTCTCTATTCTTGGTGCTTTCTGCTTTTTGCATTTTTGATATTCTGGAGTGGGTATAGTAGTATTGCATTGAGATCTTGTCATATTTTTTGATAACTTCTCGCAGAGCACCTTCACATATGTTTATTGGGCAATGAGGTTATATACTCTTGAATCAAGTGTCTTCTGTTGGGTTATTTGTAGTTTTTCTTAATGATTTGTAAAAATTCTTGATATTTTTGGATATAAATCTTTTATTTTGTGTCAATATGTAGACATTTGTATGCATGTGTGTATTTACATTTTATATATGTAGATTATATTCTCTACTGGGAGTTGCTTTTGAAATCTCCTTATAGTGTCTATTGATGATATAACTTACCAATTTTGATATTGTCCAATTTTGCAGGTTTCCTCTTTGTTGTTACCAATTTTTTAAACTGTTTGTGAAGTCTTTTCCCACCTTAATATCCTGAATATTTGTTTCAGTGGTTTACTCTAAAAGCATAGAAGGATTTTTTGTTTTTTGTTTGTCTTTTGAGAAAGCCTCGCTCTATCACCCAGGATGGCATTCAGTGGCACAATATTGGCTCACTGTAACCTCCACCTCCTGAGTTCAAGCAGTTCTTCTCCCTCAGCCTCCTGAGTAGCTGGGATTACAGGCATCTGCTACCCTGCCCAGCTGATTTTTGTATTTTTAGTAGAGATGGGGTTTCACCATCTTGATCAGGCTGGTCTCAAACTCTTGACCTTGTGATCAGCCTGCCTTAGCCTCGCAAAGTGCTGGGATTACAGGTGTGAGCCACCAAGCCTGGCAAGCGTTATTTATTTTTAATCTTTTACATTTAGGTCTGTAGTCCATCTGGAAATTATTTTTGAGTATGGCATGAGATAGTGGTCAAGATTAATTTATTTTAAAGTCATCTTTCCTGCACTGTACTATAGGATCATGTTTGTCATAAATCAGTGACTGCATATATAAATATTTTATTGCATAGACAAATATTTATGTTTATTTTGTCAGTTATATGTTGTTTTTATTTTTGTAGCTTTAAAATACATTTTGCCTGCCTGGTAGTGTAAGTCTTCCAACTTTGTTCTTTTCCAAGATTTCCCTAGCTCTTCTTAGCCTTTTATATTTCCAATTAAATATTAGAATGAGCTTGTCAGTTTCCAGAAATGACCTACAGGGATTTTGAATGGGATTGCATTGAATTTATAGATAAGTTTGGAGAGAATTAACATACTTATCATGGAGATATAATCCTCCATTTATTTCAGACTTTAGAAATACTTCTTGCTAATGTATTGTACTTTTCTATGAAATGTTACACATATTTGATTTTGACACTGTAAGTGGTACTATTTTTATAATTTTATAAGTTTTTTCTGTATGTACAAATATACCTGATTTTTGTTTGATGCGTTTTCTAATAATCTTGTGAATTCACTTACTTTCTATAATAATTTGCCTATGGATGTTTTTGGAACTTGTATATACACTATATAATCATACCATTGGCAAAGTTGCCTCACCACCCCAGGACTACCCCTATACACGAGTTAGGACCACCAATATAATATTGAATTGAAATGGTGATAGAATTTCAGAGAAAAAGTTTTAAAAGTTCACCATTAAAGTTTTTGTGGGGCAATTGAGAGGGGGATTTATCAGAGTATGGAAATTCTCTTTTGTTTGCTGAATTTTTGTTGTGAATGAATATTAAGTTTTACCAAATGCTTTCTCTATATAGTGAAATATATTTTTCTGTTAGTGTGTTAGATTGCATGTCTTAATTTTCAAATAGTAGAATACCTTTCCATTCTTAGAATACATTCACTTGGTTGTGATGTATTATCTTTTCAAATGTTAAACTAGATTTTCTAAGTTTTTAAATTTTAAAATTAGTTTTAAAAATTAATTTTTTAAAAAGAGATAGGGTCTTAGTATATTGTCCAGGCTGGCTTTGAACTCCTGGGCTGAAGTGATTCTCCCCCATGGTCTCTTAAATAGTTGTGACTACAGGTGCATGCCACCATACCCAGCTCTGCTAACATTCTATGATTTTGTGTATGTTCATGAGCAAGATTGTTCAACTCTGTAATTTTCTTTTTGATGTTGCCATGTTTTGGTATCGAGATCATGCTGGCTTTATAATGAGTCAAGAAGTGTTTCTTATTTTTCTGTCCTTTGAAAGAGTTTGTGTACAACTGATGTACTTATGCCTTAAGTATGTAAAAAAATTCACCAGAATTCAGCCTTCTGGACCTGGAGTTTTCTTTATGAGAAGGTGCTTTTTTTTTGGGGGGGGTGTGGTGGTGGGGGAGATGGAATCTCGCTTTATCACCAGGCTGCAGTGGCACGATGCCGGCTCACTGCCACATCCGCCTCCCGTGTTCAAGCGATTCTCCTGCCTCAGCCTCCTGAGAAGCTGGGATCACAGGCGAGCAGCACCACGCCCAGCTAGTTTTTGTATTTTTAGTAGTGATGGGGTTTCACCATGTTGACCAGGATGGTCTCAATCTCCTGACCTCATGATCTGCCTGCCTCGCGCTCCTAAAGTGTTGGAATTGTAGGCGTGAGCCACCGTGCCCAGCCTATGAGAAGGTTTTTAATAACATTTAATTTTTAGATACTGGAATATTAAAATTTGTATGTATATTCATGTTGGTTTTTGAGAATTAGATTATTTCATCTAAATTTGTCATTTGTTGGTGAAAGTTGTTTAGGATCATCCAACTTTTTTAACATCTTTAGGGTTTTATAGTGACGTCTGCTTTTCATTCGTGATACTGGTAATTGATATTTCCCCTGTTTTTGTTTTTTTTTTCTTTTCCAAGAATCAAATTTGGGCTTTGCTGATTTTTCTGTTTTGCTTATTTTCTGTTTTTATTGATTTTGGTTTATATCTTTATTTATTTCCTTCTACTTTTCTTTAGTTGAATTTGTTTTTTTTTTTTTTCCAAAGTTTTTGACATGGAAACTAGATAATTGTTTTTCACCCTTTTTCCCTTCTCTGGCACGTGATTCAATTCTCACAAAGAGAAGGCTTTATTATTTGGGAAAGAAAACATTCAGTAAGCACCCTAGTAGTAAACATAGCAGTTTCTTTTTTTTGTGCTTTGTTTTAAAATTATGAATTATCAGGCATGTTGTATAGGCTGTTTTCCTTAATGCATTTATATATCCATGAACAGTATACAGTATGGTTTTGCATGTGTTTTACAACTTCAGTAAGTGATATATAATATTCTACAGATTCCTTTTTTAATCTCAATTGTATATTTTTCTGTATATGTGTATTTATATTGTAGTTCAAATTTATTTTTATTACTTTATGATATTTGAATATAACAGTATTTTTCTGTTCCCCTGATAATCGACATTTCAGTTATTCTTCATTGCTAATAATAATATCTACATGGTGTAGCAGTGAACATTCGGATTAAATTCTTTTTGATCATGTAAGTCAATTTCTTTAGGATAGAAACCTAGCAATAGCATTCCTAGCATATAAAACTAGGAATAGTGTATTTTCAACTTTATTAGGTATTAACCAAACTTCTCCCTAAAATGATCCTACCAGTGTATACCTTTGAGTAGAGGATGAGGATTTATGTCACTCCTTATCTTAACCCCATATGTCATCTGACTTTAACATTTTAACCAGTCTGGTGAGTGTGAGATAATGCATAATTTTAATTTACATTTATACCATTGTTGGTTTTGTCATTTTTTCACATATTTTACTGGCTGTTTTGTTTCCTTTTATGTAAATTTTTTAATTCAGTGATTTTTTCAGTTGGGTTGTTTTGTCATTTTTCTTACTGGGGAAAAGTTTTTTATGTGGTTGGAATTTAATTTTTGTTAAATGTGTTGCAGAGAATTTTCTCTAAGCCCATGGCTTCTATTTAGTTTTTGTATCTTTTTACCATTCATAGTTTTAAATTTTGACAAATTTAGTAATGTTTTTCTTTATGGTTTTTGCTTCACATGCTCATGTATACGTGTGTGTGTATAAGACACCCTTTCCCATCCTAAGGCCATGCAGGTATTTTGTTTAATAAGCGGTATTATTGCATAATGATTAAGAGCCAGAGCTCTGGAACACGCTAAGTTAGAACCCCACCTCTGTCATGTACTTGCCATGTCTCCTTGGATTCTCTGTGTTCCTTTTTAAAAAATATAGATGATAATTTTACCCACCTCCAGGGTTGATGTTAGGAAGTCCACCTGGATAGTATGACAGGCATGTGATTCCCTCGTGATACTGGTTGTTGAGTATTTTGAGTATCATCTCTGATTAACTCATGAGATTACTATGAACAGTAACCGAGGTCATACATATAAAGTACTTATTAATGCCAGGGATATAACAAGAGCTCAACAGATGTTTATTATGTTATCTTCTAATTGTTTTGTTTTACATTTAAGACTTTAATTCATCTGAAGTTGATATTAGGCACAATAATTTACACTCATTAATATTCTTCCGTGATATACTTGGGGTACTATGCAGAAAAGAATTAATGTCACAGGTTCTAAGATTGCTTCTTGTTAGATAACCTGCTTGAATGGTTGGCCCTTGGCTGGTAAACAGTTCCCTATATAGAACTTTTCATAAATGCTAAGAGTGTGGTAGGTTTGCTGTGCCTAAACTGTTTGCACAAATAATGTGATTTATGCTGAATACCTGATTTCCTTCTGGGAGTCTGGAATTTTGGTATGTGTGAGGCAGAGTGTACCCACATGACCATCCCCCAGTGAAAACCTTGGGAGCTGAGTTTCTTAGGAACATCCATAGTGGACAAGACTGCGTACTCTTTGCATGTGTTGTCACAACTGGTTGGTAGAGGAATTAAGTACATCCTATGTAACTCCATTGGGAGAGGACTTTTGGAAGCTTATACCTGATTTTGCCCCATGTGCCTTTTCCTTTCTTATTTTGCTTTGTATCCTTCTGCTGGAATAAATTTTAGTTGTTACTATTACTGTATGCTGAATCCTTTGACTCCTCTTAGTTAATTGTCTATCTTGGCCATGGGCTTGGGGACTCCTGACACAGGTACTGATATGAAGTTATCTTTGTTTACTGCATGATTGCACCTTTTTTTTTTGTTTGTCATCTTTTATATTAATCCTTTGGAATAGCTATGGACTACCTATTACCTTTGGTTTCAGACTAGGATGAATTCTAGAGGAGCTGAGCAATTGGCACTGATAGGTTGGGAAGGAGTTTACTACTTGTTACACCACTGTCTGTCTGGGATTCTTGATTTTCAGCCTTATATATGCTCAGGCTAACTCAGAATTTTTGAACTCAGTAAACTTTTAATTGATATTTAAGTTTCTTGAAATTTAAATATACCATTTTTTTTCTGGTAAATATTATTACAGTCATATTGTATGTGCACAGTCTTAGGCAAAAAAACATTTATTTCTCTTGTAAGCATCAGTGAACCATTCTCAGAATCTTCTTTGCAGCAATGCTGTGACCAGTGTGAGAGCTCTCATTGAAGAATAGTTGAACTACAATGTCATGATGATTGATTTTCTAAAACTAAAATATTTAGGAGGTGATAATTTTAAATCATCACATGGAGTGCCTTTATTTTTGGAATGATTTTTATAGGAGGCCCAAAGAAGTATTTGAATCAGATGATCACTGAAAGTATCTGGCTTTATTTTTGTTTTATCAGTCTTGCTTTATCTTCATTTAGTGGACAAGTTTAATTCCTTATTTAAATGAGATTCTTGTTCACTTTAAAAAGTAGATCCAGAAACTTACTTGAATGCTTTCGACACACCAATAAGTAATTATGACTTCATTTTCATGAGGCTAACATGCTTTGTTATACATTTCTTTATCTGTGTTTTACTAAGGGGAGAGCTGGCTAAATTTGGATTTTTACCTTGTGATTGATGTAGCTAGACTTTATTGAGATTTAAATGTCTGCTGAATGTCATAATATTCTTAGCAGTGTTTGTGTGGGTATGTGAGTTTCTTAGATTATTTGTACTGAATTTTGGAATTTCTCTAGTCCAACAATATAGAAGAAGAATATAAAAATATCAAGCCCGGCTTATATTTGCCTTATTTAGTTTTGAGTTTTAAAATGAATTTAGGAAGTTTTTAATTGCTCTCTAATTTTGTATCTGTGCCATTTTACTTAGCTTGGGTTATACTCTAAGAAAGAGACCAGAGATTCTTTAATCTTTCTAATGCATATTCACATATGCTATCTCAGGTGGTTGCACCTTGTCTACATTTTGCTAGTTTTTCACTTTATTTAATAGTATTATACTACTGTCAGACTGTTTTCATTAAACTCTGGTGAGAGCATATTGCTCTTTAAATCTGTGTCTGAATAACAAAGATCAGAGCATAACTAAATGAAATTGAAATGACAAAATCATAAAAATAATCAGTGAAATGAAGAGTTAGTTCTTTGTAAGGATAAACAAAATTGACAGGCTGCTAGCTAGATTAGCCAAGAAGAAAGAAAAAGGATTCAGATAGGCATGATCAGAAGTGATAAAAGTGATTTTACAATTGATACCGTGGAAATACAAAAGATCATCAGAGATTGCTGTAAACATCTCTGTGTGCACAAACTAGAAGACCTAAAGGAAATGGATAAATTTCTACAAACATATAACATCCCAAGATTGAACCAGTAAGAAATGAAAATAATGAATAATGAAGTGAAATCGGTCATAACCAAAAAAATACCAACCAAAAAAAGCCCAAGACGAGACAGATTCAGAGTGGAATTTTACCAGGCATACAAAAGAGCTGGTATCAATCTTACTGAAACTGTTCCAAAAAATTGAGGAGGAGGAATCCCTAACTCATTCTATAAAACCAGTATCATCTTGGTACCCAAATCTGGCAAGGACACAACAAAAAAAGAAAACTGCTGGCCAGTATCCCTGATGACCACACATGCAAAACTGCAACAAAATACTGGCAAACCAAATCAAAGAGCAAATTAAAAAGATCCATCATGATCAAGTGGGTTTTATTTTAGGAATGCAAAGATGGTTCAACATATATACATCAATAAATGTGTTTCACCACATAAGTAGATTAAAAACAAAATCTATATGCTTATCTCAATATATGAAGAGAAAGCATTTGATAAAATCCAATATCCCTTCATGATAAGAACCCTAAGCAAACTAGGCATCAGAGGAACATACCTCAAAGTAAGAGCTCTGTATGATAAACCCATAGCCAGTATTATACTGAATAGGCAAAAGTTGAAAGCATTTCCCCTAAGAACTGGAAGAAGACAAGGATATCCACTCCCATCACTCTTATCAACATAGTTCTAGCCAGAGCAAACAGGCAAGAGAAAAAACTAAGTCATCCAAAATATAAAAGATGAAGTAAAATTATCTATTGGTTGCTGACATGATCTCATACTCAGAAAACCCTAAAGATTCCTCTTTAAGACTTTTAGAATTTATAAACAATTTCAGTTAAGTTTCAGAAAATTAATATACAAAAATTAGTGGCATTTCCATACATCATCAGTGATCAAACAGAACCGAAATCCATTTACAATAGACACACACACACACACACACACACACACACACACCCCTAAGAATACATTTAACCAAGGAGGTGAAAGACCTCTACAAGGAGGAGTATAAAACACTGATGAAAGAAATCGTAAGTGATACAAACTGATAAACATTTTATTCTTATGGATTAGAAGAATATTATTTAAATTACCATACTGCTCAAAGCAATTTACAGATTCAAGGCAATTCCCACTAAATTGCCAACATCAGTTTTTACAGAATTAGTTCCTAACCTAAAATTCATGTGGAACTAAAAACAGGCTAATAGCCAAAACAATTCTAAGCAAACAGGACAAAGCTAGAGGCATCACATTACTTGACTTCAAACTATACTACAAAGCTGTAGTAACCAAAACAGCATGGTACTGGTACAGAAATAGACACATTGATCAATGGAACAGAATAGAGAACCGAGAAGTAAAAACACATACATATATCTGACTGAACTTCGACAGAATCAACAAAAATAAACTGTGGGGAAAGGACACCCTATTCAATAAATGGTGCTGGGCAAATTGGCTAGTCATGTGCTGAAGAATGAAACTGGACCCCTGTCTCTCACTATATCCCAAAATTAACTCAAGATGAATTAAAGACTTAAATGCAAGACCTGAAACTATAAAAAATCTATGAAGAAAACTTAGGAAAAACTCATCTGGACATTGGCTTAGGCAAGATATTGAGTAAGACCTCAAAAGTAAATGTAACAGAAACAAAAATAGACAAATGGGACTTAATTAAACTTCTGCACAGCAGAAGAAACAACAGAGTAAACAGACAGCCTACAGAAAATGAGAAAATATTTCCAAACCATGCATCTGAAAAATGACCAGTATTCAGAATTTACAAGGAACTGAACAAGAAAAAAATGTATAACTCCATTAAAAGATGGGCAAAGGATATGAACAGACATTTCTCAAAAGAAGACATACAAGCAGCCAACAAATGAAAAAAAAAGCTCAACGTCACTAATCATTAGAGTGATGCAAATCAAAACCACAGTGAGAGTCCGTCTCATACCAGTCAGAATGACTATAAAAAAGTTAAATAACATGTTGGTGAGTATGTGCAGAAAAGGGAATGCTTATAACACTGTTGATGAAAATGAAAATTGAAAATTAGTATAACCTTTGTGGAAAACAGTACAGAGATTTCTCAAAGAACTAAAAGTAGAATTACCATTTGGTCTAGCAGTCATACTCCTGGACGTCTACACAGAGAAAAAGTTATTATATCAAAATGATATCTGCACTTGTATGTTTATTATAATAAACATAAATTATCAAAATAGCAAAGTCATGGAATCAACCTAAGTGTTCATTAGTAGTTGATTAGATAAAGAAAATGTGGAATATATATACACCATAGAATACTGTGCAACCATAAAAAAGAATGAGAGACTGGGCCTGGTGGTTCATGCTTGTAATTCCAGCACTTTGAGAGGCTGAGGCAGGCAGATCACTTGAGGCCAGGAGTTCGAGACCAGCGTCGCCAATATGGCTAAAGCCTGTCTGTACTAAAACTACAGAAATTAGCCAGGCATGGTGGTGCACACCTGCAATCCCAGCTACTTGGGAGGCTGAGGCACAAGAATCACTCGACCCCAGGCAGAGGCTGCAATGGCGGAGACTGCAGTGAGTTGAGATAGTGCCACTGCACTGCAGCCTGTGTGACAGAGCAACACTCTGTCTCAGGAAAAAAAAAAAAAAAAAAAAGCTGTATCCTTTGTAGCAACATGGACAGAGCTAGAGGTCATTATTCTAACTATAATAACTCAGGAACAGGAAATCATATACTACATGTTCTCATTTGTAGATGGGAGCTAAACAGTGGGTACACATGGACATAAGCATGGAAATAGTAGACACTGAGGACTTCAGAAGTGGGGAGGATGGATAGGGGTTAAGAGTTGAAAAATTACCTATTGGGTACAGTGTTCACTCTTTGGGTGATGGGTTTCTAGGAGCCCAAACCTCACCATTATGCAGTATGTTCATGGAGTAAACTCACACATGTATCTCATGAATCTAAAATTTAAAAAAATCTGGCCAGACTCATGGCTCACGCCTATATTCCCAGCACTTTGGGAGGCTGAGGTGGGTGGAGTGCCTGAGTTTACGAGTTCAAGACCAGCCTGGGCAACATGATGAAACCCAATCTCTACTAAAATACAAAAGATTAGCTGGGTGTGGCAGCATGTGCCTGTAATCCCAGCTACTCAGGAGGCAGAAGCAGGAGAATTGCTGGAACCTGGAAGGCATAGGTTATAGTGAGCTGAGATCACACTACTGCACTGTAGCTTGGGCTATGAGAGTGAGACTCTGTCTCAAAAAAAAATGTATCCATGTTCAGGGCCCTTTTTCATACTGCTGTTATCTTACCTACATTCCCAGGCTAAGACCATTTGAGGTTACTTATATTTTTTCTTAATGCTCTCATCTGTTCCTCCTTTAAGGCTGTATTCAGACTTTTATTTTCTTCCCTCCCCCTAAGGATTAACTGTTCAGTGATGAGACCCCATAGCACTTTAAATCACACCCTCTGATTTTCTGCTTTTCTCCTAAGACTCTTTTCATCTTTTTGTGCTGTGATACTGACTTAGTGTGTATAGGTACTCGATAAATGGTTCTTTCCAGTTAGAATCAATTACTCCATTCTTCCTACATCTAATCATTTGCTTCCTCCTACTTTTGGCACTTTATTTTAATTTGTGGTATACTACTTTGTATTGATCTTCATACCTGCACTGAAGTAATTTCAAAGACAAGGACTGGACTTGACTTTTCTTTTTTTTTTTTTTTTTGAGATAGAGAATTGCTCTGTCACTCAGGCTGGAGTGCAGTAGTGTGATCTTGGCTCACTGCAACCTCTGCCTTCCGGATTCAAGCAATTCTCCTGCTTCAACCTGCTGAGTGGCTGGGATTACAGGTGTGCATCACCGTACTCAGCTAATTTTTTGTATTTCTAGTAGAAACGGGGTTTCACCATGCTGGCCAGGCTGCTCTCAAACTTCTGACCTCTTGATCTGCTTGCCTTGGCCCCAACAAAGTACTGGAATTACGGATGTGAACCACCGCATCCAACCTGGATTTTTCTTTAGTAAAATTCTCATTTTTTGAGGCTTATGCCCCTTAGTTCAGGTTTTATCGTATGTCCTGCATCAGTATTAAGCTGCTTCTCATTTATGTGTATTTAGATTATATTGCTTTAGTTTAGAATAAAGTCTCAAATTTTGGTTTATGATTCATAAGGTTATTTCGTGGCTGGACTTTTCCTTGTTTACATTTGTCCTGTCACTGTGAATTAATAGCCTTTTAAAAAAATCTTTTCTACTGAGGCCACTGTAGAGTGTTATTTTCCCCTTTCATTTATCCTCATGAAGTGGTGAGGAGGGTAGATAGATGGCTTTGATGATCTCTACAAAGTGATGCAGAAACCAGTGTACTTGTACCTATTAAAAAGTGACAGCAAATAGTACAAATGACTCCTGCTACCTCCTGAGCCATTTAAACATAAGCTTCTTACCTGAAGTCCTATGACCCTTGGATACTTTAATGCAGTGATCCCCAAGCTTTTTGGCACCAGGGACTGGTTTTGTGGAAGACAGTTTTTCTATGGACTGGGGTGCAGGTGATGATGGTTTCAGGGTGAAACTTTTCCATCTCAGATCATCAGGCATTAGGTTCTCATAAGGAGTGTGAGCTCAAGTGTGCAGTTCACAATAGGGTTCACTCTCCCATGAGAATCTAATGCTGCTGGTAATATGACAGGAGGCGGAGCTTAGGTGGTAATGCTCCCTTGCCTGCTGCTCACCTCTTGCTGTGCAGCGTGTTCCTAACTGGCCATAGACTGATACTGGTCCATGGCCTAGGGGTTGGAGACCCTTGCTTTAATGTATATTTCTTGGAAACAAGAACATTTTCCTATATAATCACAGAATAACCATTCACATCATGAAATTAACATGGATACATTACTACCACCAAATTCTTGGACCCCATTCAAGTTTCTCCATTTGACCAATAATTTTTATATATATACATATATATATACACACACACACACATACATATGTATATATATATTTAGTTGACAAGTGATCCTTTATTGAAATATTTTCCTTTGTGCTTCTGAACTAGCTGAGCATTCTGCTGCACCACTGTTTATGTTATGTATTATCTCATGAGGGTGGTGGCCATCAGCATTGCAGCCCATAGATAAGGCAGTCCCCAGGATCTCTTTAACAGTTCCAGAGAGAGTTCTCTGGCTTAAAGATCAGTGCCATATCTTCGAGCAGTGTTGACAATTTCATCAAAAGTGATATTTTCACCTTGTTTAATATTTTCCTGTTTCTTTCTGTCTCCTAGCCATTCCTTGAGGGCTTTGATGATCAGTGCAGAGGGAGAAGGTACCGCCTCAATCTGGGTCTGTCTGTTCTGAATGGTCAGTTTTCCTGTAATTCTCAGACTCTTCCAGTTGCTGGTTGCTTTGGCAATTTCATCACCCACCTTTTTTTGGAGACAGACCCTGGGCACCCATCTTGGGGGCCAGTGCAGATGTGGCATGGACTTTACCCTGGTACACCTCAGGTATACAACTTTGATCTCGTTGGGGTGGAACTTCAGCAGTATGGTGGAGGCAGCTGGTGTCGGATTAATCTGGATTCGGTACAAACAAAGAGAGTTGCACCTTGGCTTCCTCTGAGTGAAAAATTGAAGGCAATAATATCTTCTATAGTAAAAAGATCTATGTTAGAATCACATGATGGTTTGGTGTATTATGGACTTCCGTCTCTTCAGTCTCCTGGCCAGTGAATGTTCTTTCAAACAGGTTTCTGTGTTTTTTCTTCTATCATAATTCTTTGAGCACTCCCTTGCTCTTTTATACAAGATGTTTTAGTCTCATTTTGCATTTTTTTCTAGCCTAGGCCTGAATGATTTCTAGAACGAATGATTTCTTCTAGGGTCCTGGTTCTTTTTATTGGGAAATGTTGTTTTAGAGCCAAGTTTTGGGGGCTAGGTATGCTCACTGCTATTGAAAAGTTGCTGCTCACAGGCATCTTCAGTGGTGAGAACTGGGGAATACACGCCATCCCCCCCACACACATGCGCACAAATGTATCAATATTTATGTCCACATTATATATTTTTAAAACCATGAATTCATACTAATACTTCCTTCCAGTTCTATCCTAATACCACAGGATTCAATTCTAGTTTTTTCCTTTTCTGTATTTGCAACCCCTATCTCTGATGTTGAGAAACCTAACTTCCATTATCCTTAAAATATTTACAGTTACACATCACTTAATAATGGGAATATGTTCTGATAAATGTGTTAGGTAATTCCATTGTCATGCAAGCATCATAGAATGTACTTAACCAAACTTAGATGTTGTAGCCTACTATACACCTAGTCTATATGGTATGAGCCTATTGCTCTTAGGATACAAACTTGTATAGCATATTACCTTTCTGAATACTGTAGGCAGTTATAACAATAATAATTTGTGTATCTAAGCATATCTAAATATAGAAAAGGTAATGCACTGCACTATGATGTTATGACAGTTATGACATCATTATGTCACTAGGCAATAGAAATTTTTCAGCTGCATTATAATCTTAAGGGACCAGTTTTATATGCAGTCAGTCATTGACCAAAATGTCATTATATGATGCGTGACTGTTCTTACTTGATTAACCTCCTTTGTAACCAACTTCTGCCACCATATCCTCTTCCACGTCGAAGTCTCATCCTGTTTGGGGTCTGAAACTTCCACATTATTATGCCTGGGTTATTTGAAGAAGGATTTATGGAGATTATCTTGGACATCTTAACTTCTCTTTTTTTGAGATGACGTCTTGCTCTTTTGTCCAGGTTGGAGTGCAGTGGTGTGATCTTGGCTCACCGCAACCTCTGTCTTTTGAGTTCAAGTGATTCTCTTGCCTCAGCCTCCCCAGCAGTGGGGGTTACAGGCACACACCACTGCACCCGGCTAATTTTTGTATTTTTAGTAGAGATTGGGTTTCACTATGTTGACCAGGCTGGTCTTGAACTCCTGACCTCAGATAATCCGCTCACCTTGGCCTCCCAAAGTGTTAGGATTACAGGTGTGAGCCACCACGCCAGCCTGGACATCTTAGTCTTAATAATACAGATGCAGTATAAATACTCTAAGAGTTTCACATGTACCTGGTTTTTTTTTTTCTTTCTTTCTTATGGAGTCTTGTTCTGTTGCCCATGCTGGAGTGCAGGGCACAATCTCAACCTCAGCTCACTTCAACCTCCGCCTCCTGGGTTCAAGTGACTCTCCTGCCTCAGCCTCCTGTATACTTGGGATTACAGGCACACACTACCATGCCCTTCTAATTTTTGTGTTTTTAGTAGAGATAGGGTTTCACCATGTTAACCAAGCTAGTCTCGAGCTCTGATCTCAAGTGATCCATCTGTCTTGGCTTCCATAAGTGTTGGGATTACAGGCATGAGCCACCACGCCTGGCCAGGCATATGCCTGTTTCATTATCAAAATGAATGACATTAAAAAATCATGAAAAATGCTTCTGTGTATAATAACTTTATAGGATCTGGATCATTTAGTGTGATTAATGTGGAGGCTTGGAATTAGAAGTGTACAGAGAGCTAAAACCTTCATTTTTTTCAAACAATAGTTCCAAATTTGATGTAAACTTCTCTGATTTTTAGGGAATGCAAATTAGATTATCTTGATGGTCAGTTTATCTGATAGTGTTTAATTATAATCAGTCATGAAAGTGTACAGCAACTAGTGTTGGAAGGACTTGTAAGAATCCTGAGATCAGCTCAATCCTAAAGATTTGAGAAACATCTCTTTCAAAATTATTTCAAAAGGGAAAAATATTGCTTATATAGAAAAAAATAGCACATATGATACTATGTTTGTTGCGTATTTGTAGAGATAAAGAATTTTCTGTCCTTTAAATGAATCTCATTAAGGATGCTGGGTATCCAGAACTTTTTTCTTCTTTTTTTATAATTAGGATCAGACTGAATAAAAAACATATGTGTAAATATATTAGTATATTGGTTTTCTCTCATTGCTGTGACATATTACCATAGTTAGTAGTTTAAAACAGCATTTATCTTACCATTTTGAAGCTCAAGTCCAAAATGTGTCTTGGGGCAAGGCTGTGTTCCTTTGAATGCTCTAGGAGAGCATCTAGGCCTCTCTTCTTTCATTCACTTGGCCTTTTACTATTTGGCAAAGCTGTAGTATATTTTATATGCAGAAAAATTAGATGCTATAAGATCAAGGTCATAGAGATCATTTAGTCTTATCCATTTATTTCGTAGATAAAGATAACTGAGACCTAGAAAGATAAAGTCACATAGTTATTCTAGTCATTGTTTTTACTGCCACCATAGATTTTTGTTGGGTTTCTCCTTTAAGGTAAAGAAGAACCTGTTTAGCACTGTTCTCTGTTTTCTGTCTGTTACCAAATGACTGCCTTTTAGAGAATGTTTCACTTAGACTCTTATCAGAGAAACCTTTTTTGAAAACCAGACATTCAGATTATCTGCTTCTGCACTTTTTTATCTCTGTACCAAACTATATATGAGGGTCTCAGAACCAAAGGAGAAAAGGCAGTATATGGAAGGTTTTCTCTATGTGTTTTTTTTGGTTCATTCTTTTATGTTCAGCTGGCTTTTAAAAATTGCTTTCTGTTTGCTACTGCTGGAGGAATGTTGAATGTTTTAGAAAGGGCAGGAGGGATTGCGGAATGTATGAGGAACCACTGACTCAGAGGAAAGAAGTGGCAGGAGAGGAGGCTGTCAGTACAGAGCTTTCACAGAGCTTGAAGGATTTGAATCTTTGGCCTAAAAATTGAAGGGAAGCAGTTGGAGAATTTTAAGCTCCAAAAAATTTAATTCAGTTTACGTTTTTAAAATGCTTTGTATGAAGATTGAATTAGAGGGGAGCTAGATAGGATGCTGGAAGCTAATGTTCAAGTGAGAAGTGGTAGTCGCTTATGCTATTTTGGTGGCAAAGTGGAGAATCTGGTGGGGTGAGAAGTTTTGAAAATGGGTTTAGAGGGTACATTGACCAAATTACATTATTGATTGACTGTAGGGGTGAAAAACATCACCTCCCTACCTTTAGAAGTTATAATTGATGGTTTTGCTTTCATTCATTTTGCCAAATTATTTTATCACCAGTTTGACTTTTTACTTTTCTTGTGGTTTTCCCATTCCTTCTTATGTCATATCTAAACTTTGGCTTTCTTCTTTTCATAATCTGTTCTCACTTTTTTTTTCAGTCTGTCTAGTCACTTTTAATCTCTAGTTACTGCTACATGTTCCTGAATGTATACTTGATACTTTGTTATCTTTCTTACCTCTCCTGTAAGTTTCTGGCACTAAGTAAGGACTCAATAATTAAGTGTTGAAATGGGTATCATGATGACGTGTGATAAATATTGCCTTTTCATAAAAATAAATGGAAACATTTAAATTAAAGGTACTGGCACTTGGTGGCCGTGGCAGCAGCAATAGACATTGGGGATCTGGGCTGCCAGGAGCAGTTTCACTGGGTTTCACCCTCAGAGATGGCCTTCGGGGCACACCAGCAAACCAAGATGGAGTATGAGTGGTAACTTGACAAGCAAGGGTTTCAGCAAATCCTGAAGTTTTGAAGGAGTTCCCGTCCCCAGACACCACCATCCAGAGAACTGTGCACCAAAAACTGGAACAGCTTAATCAATATCTAGACTTTAACAACTACTTGATTTTTGTTCTTACAAAATTAAAATCTGAGGATGAACCCACAAGATCATTGAGTGGTCTCATCTTGAAGAATAATGTGAAACAGGCTTTATTAAAAGTGAATGTTTAGATAATATTGGTGACTCCTCTCCTCTGGTTAGAGCCACTGTTGGTATTTTGATCACAACTATAGCCTCCAAAGGAGAATTGCAGAATTGGCCTGACCTCTTACCAAAACTGTAGCCTTTTGGATTCTGAATATTATAACACCTGTCAGGGAGCATTTGACACCCTTCAGAAGATTTGTGAAGATTCTGCTGAGATTTCAAATAGTGATGTTTTAGATCATCCTCTCAACATCAAGATTCCCAAATTTTTACAGTTGTTCAAGCACAGTAGTCCGAAAATAAGGTCTCACACTGTTGCACGTGTCTGTCTGTAACCGGGGGACAGGAGCAGGGCTGCGGGGACATTCCATTGACACTCACTGTTCCCCAATTGAATGTATTTTTTCCAGGTATTTGGGCTCTTTCTCACCCAATAATGGGGAGGAGACCCCGGCAGCCATGGAGATACTGTTCAAGTAAATATCAGACCCAAAGAGCTTTGCGGAAAAGTGATTTATTAGGCAGAGAGAGAGAGAGCTTTCACGCTGTCATGGGAGGGGGTCTGGAGATGGAGTCCACACAGATAAAGAGAGAGAGAGGGCTCCCACGTTGCTGTGGGAGGGGATCCCGGAGAGGGAAATCCACATAGGTAAGGGAGTAGGGGGAATTTAAACCCGGAGTTACTCTGGCCCCATTCAAGTTCTTGTTCAGTAAAAGGAGTTTTTTCCAGATTTCCTCTGGAGTGATTGTTCCTCAGGTCTGATGCTGGATTGGCTGCCTGGGTCCCAGCAGAGCCCCTCCTTCCCAGGCTTTTGGCGGGCTTTGTAAACAAAGGAAGCTTACCGGGGCTTTCTACCTAACCCATGCTGACCAAAGTTAGACAAAGAACTCTAGTTCCCAGATGGGAATGAAGGCAGGTTGGGCGTGTTACCGGGAAGTTCTTGCCTTTGAGACCACGCCCAGTGTGGACTTGGGAACAGAAGTTAACATAGTCCCTCAAATCAGTCTATCATCAGTAGGATGTTGCACGTTGATTCTTTTACTGTGTTTCACACTGATTCTTTTAGTGAGACTCTGTTTGCATTGGCTGGTGATAAAGAACCAGAGGTATGGAAAAATGTGTGCCCAGCACTTGTGATGTTGCTCCAAGTTCAAATGGATTGTCTGCTTCCTCACATGCATAGTATAGTTGAGTACATCCTACAGAGGACTCAAGATCAAGATGAAAATGTGGCTTTAGAAGCCTGTGAATTTTGGCTGACTTTAGCTGAACAGCCATTATGCAAAAATGTACTTGTAAGGTATCTTCCTAAGTTGATTTCTGTGTTAGTGAATGCCATGAATTATTCAGATATAGATACTGTCCTACTTAAGGATGAAGTTGAAGAAGACAAGATGATTCCTGTTAGTGAACAGCATATACGGCCACATTTTCACCGATCAAGGACAGTGGCTGAGCAGCGTGATGAAGATGGAATTGAAAATGAAGACAATGTTGATGATGATGATGATGCAATTTCTGACTGGAATCTAAGAAAATGTTTTGCTACTGCCCTAGGTGTTCTTGCAAATGTGTATCATGATGAACTACTGCCACATATTTTGCCCCTTTTGAAAGAATTACCTTTTTTTTTTTGAGACAGAGTTTCGCGCTTGTTACCCAGTCTGGAGTGCAATGGCGTGATCTCCGCTCACCCGCAACCTCCGCCTCCTGGGTTCAGGCAATTCTCCTGCCTCAGCCTCCTGAGTAGCTGGGATTACAGGCATGTGCCACCTGTAATTTTTTTTTTTTGTATTTTTAGTAGAGACAGGGTTTCACCATGTTGACCAGGATGGTCTCGATCTCTTGATCTTGTGATCCACCCGCCTCGGCCTCCCAAAGTGCTGGGATTACAGGCTTGAGCCACCGCACCCGGCCCAAGAATTACTTTTTAATCATGAATGAGTTGTTGAAGAATCAGGCATCTTGGTTTTAGGAGCCATTGCTGAAGGTTGCGTGTGGGCGTGATTCCATACTTGCCTGAGCTTATTCAGTGCCTCTTTGATAGGAAGGCTCTTGTGTGTTCCATAACATGCTGTACTCTTAGCCGCTATGCATACTAGGTAGTCAGCCAGCCACCAGACACGTACCTGAAGCCATTAATGACAGAATTGCTAAAGTGCATCCTGGATAGCAACAAGAGAGCACAAGAAGCTGCCTGCAGTTCACTAGGAAGCTTGTACAGAACTTGTTTCTTACCTTGCTTATATACTTGATACCCTGGTCTTTGCATTCAGTAAATACCAGCATAAGAACCTGCTCATTCATTACATATGCTATAGGAATATTAGCAGATTCAGTAAGATATCATTCAAACAAATCAGAATATATTCAGATGCTAATGCCTCCACTGATGAAGATGTGGAACATGTTAAAGGATGAAGATAAAGATCTCTTCCCTTTACTTGAGTGCCTATCTTTAGTTGCCACAACACTGCAGTCTGGCTTCCTTCTGTACTGTGAACCTGTGTATCAGTGTTGTATTAACCTAGTACAGAGGACACTTGCACAAGCCATGCTAAACAGTGCTCAACCAGATCAATCTGAAGCTCCAGATAAATACTTTATGATAGTGGCTCTTGATTTACTGAGTGGCCTGGCTGAAGGACTTGGAGGCAACATTGAACAGCTGGTAGCCCGAAGTAACATCCTAACACTAATGTATCCTAACACTAGTGCATGCAGGATAAAATGCCAGAAGTTCAACAGAGTTCTTTTGGCCTATTAGGTGACCTCACAAAAGCTTGCTTTCAGCATGTTAAGCCTTGTATAGCTGATTTCATGCCAATATTGGGAACCACCCTAAATCCAGAATTCATTTCGGTCTGAAACAATGCCACAAGGGCAGTTGGAGAAAGTTCCATTCAAACGGGTATAGAGATGCAGCCTTATATTCTATGGTGTTGGACCAGCTTGTAAAAATCATTAACAGATCCAGCATACCAAAGTTGTTAGAGAATACAGCAATATTCTCTGACAACTGGTCATCTTGGTGACATTTATCTTCAAGGGGTGACCCCGATGCTACAGGAGTTTATAAGACCCTGGTGCACCTCTCTGAGAAACATAAGAGACAATGAGGAAAAGGATTCAGCCTTCCATGGAATTTGTACCATGATTAGTGTGAATCTCAGTGGTGTAATCCAAGATTTTACATTTTTTGTGATACTGTTGCATCATGGATTAACCTAAAAGATGATCTCAGAGACATGTTCTGTAAGATCCTTCATGGATTTAAGAATCATGTTGGTGATGAAAATTGGAGGTGGTTCTGACAGTTTCCTCTTCCCTTAAAAGAGCATCTTGCAGCTCTTTATGGTGTTTAATCTAATAGACTTAAACTGCAGTCCCAAAATTAATTAGGGGTCCTTCAGTCTTGGAGACTATGGGGGAGCCTCTGTAGCCAGGGAAAATGTTAAGGGGGTGGGGGAGAAGGGTAAACTGGTAGGGAATACAATACATAAAATCACAACCCTGCTGGGAGGGGTGGGAGGGAGGTTTTGCTGTCAAGTCTTTGTTGGAATAGGTTTTAACATCTGGACCTTTTGTGGGTGGAAATATGTCTCCAGTTACAGCTCCACACTGGATTTGAAGAAGCAAAAAAAAAAAAAGTCTCTTTAGTCTACTCACAAAGCAGTACATTGTGGAATATTACGGGGAATTGTACCAAAGCAAGGACCATCTAAGTGATGCATAGGGACAAGAAAGAGGAACATTTCTATAGCGTACAATAAAGGAAACCTAAGAATGGGACCTAAGAATGGGAGTTATAAATAGTAAGGAAGCTTTTTTTTTTTAAATTAAAAAATATTTATATAAGTTTTTCCATATTATGGGGGCTTGTTTTGCGTGTTGATGAAGAACTATATAAACAAAGCTAATATAGTTAAAAATCAGCTTGCCTTCCCATGGGAGTAGCAGGTTCTTGGAAGTTGCAATTTAAGGTACCCCCAAAAAGCTGGAAATAAAACAAGCATAAACAGTGAAGCACCAAATGAGTCACTCCTTTTACCTTTTTTGGGGTGGGGAAGGAGGGAGGAATAGATGGGTTAGGGCATATCAAACTAAAGATGACATCTTAATTTTGTTTTGAACATTAATGTAGCGTGTATAAATTTGATGGTTGTACTTCATCAGATTTAATTTTAGGCCAAGATGTTATTTTTTGAAGTACAGTTTAAGGTTCAGGCATGCATTCTGGCTCACAGTGGTTGAAAGTAATTTAAATTAGTGGGAAAGTAGCATGGTTGCATTGCATAGAGAGATTGATATTCATTTACCTATGTTGTAAATTCCTTAAAGTTCCTTTTTAAGATTTGTGGATTTTATTTTTATTAAGAATATAGATATATAAAGTAACTATAGTTTACAGCTAGACCTTGAAATATCTTCTTTAGGATCTGTTAGGAATAAGATTGATACTGTATTGTGTTTAACCTGCACAGTGTGGAAAGTTGATATACTTGTGCAAAATCTTTGCCTCTGTACTGTCAATGTGATGTGCTTTTTACATGGTTATATGCTACTAGTGATTTTATCAAAACTTCTAAAATTTAAATTACAAGGTAAAAGATCTGTAAAAGGCTGCATAAATGTTAGTTAGCACATAAAGACAATTGTAGAAGTTGAAAAATGATTGCTGTATTTCAGTGTTTATTCCCATTCAGCATACCGCCTTCTAAGCTTCCTTTTTTGTTGTTCAAAGCACGATCTTAAAGATATGTTTAAGTTAATGGCCGCAATTCCTACACTGTATTTTGTGCATGTTGTGTGGCCCTCTGTGCCCTAGATATATGCACACAGGGTGCAAATTAAAAGCTGCAGAGTGAAAGTTGGTTTGGATCCTCTTCATTTTATTTGTTTAGCTTTTCCGTTATTTTTCTCTACTTACATATATTTCTGTGAATAAATCCTTGTTAAATTAACCCTTAAAAAAAGTTAAAGGTACTGTTTGGTATTTTTCACTTAGTTTTCTATACACATTATGACATACCCTGTTTACAAAATAAGTTTCTAAGGCATCATGTGTCATAATAGCAAGCTACAAGTAACTAAACATAAATGTGGTAGTGGAGGGACAGCTTACAGAAAGTTGAGATGGTCCTAATATAGGTAAATAGAAATCTCAAACTGATAATTGATACTTTCAGGTATGCTTTGACATTGAATGACAAAATTTGAAAGAATAGAAGGAAGCTATTCCAACTCCAGTAGTGAATCTTTCATGTCCATTTAATTAGTATAGATCCTTTTTTGTCTTATTAATAGAACTTTTATGTTTTTAAGAAAAGTTTAAATGTATGAAATGCAGTTGGTGTGATTCTTTAAACAGACATTTTTCTTTATTCAGAATTAATGTTTCTTATGGATTAAGTATATTACAGTATGAAGTTCAGTTCAATAATTCTTGAGCTTCTATTTTCCAGATATATTCTAATATCTTAGGTCAATGAAGTGGATAAGAGTGTCCTTGTCATTAATTAGTTCAAAATCTTGTTTGATAGGCAGATAAATTACAAACACATGATTATAGTATGAATTTATAAATTATTAGTATGCATATGGTCTTGAAATAACATGAAAGGTGTGTCTATGTCAGGGAGTCATTCAGAAGCTTTTGAAGAGGAAGTTAACATCTGAGTTGGGTGTTGAAGAATGAATGCAAGTTTTATCAGTTGACCAAGGAATTTAGAGAATGAACATTTTAGCATAGGGAACGTCATGTACAGCATGAGTGTATCACAAAATCATGATGTGTGAGAGAGAAATATCAACATTGCTCAGAATATAGTGTGTGGGGTAGAGGGTAGTTAGAAATGACCCCAGGGAAATAAGATGGTGGAAAGGAAGGAAAATTCAGTATCTCAAACTGAAAGGACAAATGATATTTATAAATCAGATTTTTAAAATAAGATATAACATTAAATATCATCAATATTTCTATATCAGCTCTTCATACACACTTCCCATCTATGTATGAGACCATAGAGTATTTTTTTATGAACACTTTTTCTCATAAAAATGAAGTTACTGGATTATCTAAACTCCTTCTTGATCAAAGTCTGTGCTGCAGAGAAAAAGTCAGTGAACTTAAAATTAATTTATTCATAAACAGAGAGCAGGCTGAGTGTAGCGGTTCATACCTGTAATTCCAGCACTTCGTGAGGCTGAGGTGCTAGGATTGCTTGAGCCCAGGAATTTGAGACCAGCCTGAGCAATGTGGCAAGACCCCACCTGTACAAAATGCTAAAAAATTAGCCGAGCATGGTGGCATATACCTGTGGTTCCAGCTACTTGGGAGGCTGAGGTGGGATCATCACCTGAGTCCAGGAGGTTGAGGCTGCAATGAGCCATGATTGCGCCACTGCCCTCTAGCCTGGGTGACAGAGCAAGACCCTGTCTTAAAACAAAAACAAAACAAAAGAACACAGTGTAATATATTCCTTTTACCTAGCATAGTACCTGGCATAGAGTAGATGTATAATGAGCAATATTTTTGGAGAAAATATTGAATTCTGTGATTTGGATCAAGTAGCTATTATAAAATTGTTATCGTTAATGAGGACATTGAAGCTAAGAGTCTCTCACTGATTGAATGAATTTTAGGAGTTGTTGAAGTTGCTCTTCTAGCCTGAATAAATAATTAAATATTTTTCAATTTAGGCTATTCTGTTTTATTGTCCTGTGGTGATTGAAAGTATTGCCTTCAGGCTCTTCAATTTCTAGTGACATTTAGGTGGTACTTCCATAATCTTTGATGCCTTTTCTGGTCTTGGGAGTCTGGCAACCTGTATTAGTAGAAGCTGCCAGCTTGGTAGCTTCAGTTGAGTTGCATGGAGACACAGATGGGAAAGTTGGTCTGTTGAACCTCTTTTTACCTTTTAGTACGTGGGTGAAGGAGAAAGTACTGTAAGAACATTACACCAACCATTGGGAAACCCAGATTTCAACCGTAGTTATATAATTAGTGTCTCATATGACATAACATATAGAGTTCTTCCCACATGACAGGTTGCATCAACTGATTGGAGCCTTTTCCCAGCTCTGAAATTCTAATTTCTTTCCCCTTCCTCTGGGACTTTATTTATTCTTTCCTTGTTTTTTCTTCCTTGCTGGATGAATTGGGGACGTTGTTTTGAAAATACATTCCCTCTACATGAAATTTTTGTTTTTAGTTTTACTTTAAGTTCTGGAATACATGTGCAGAATGTGCAGGTTTGCTACAGAGGTATACATTTGCCATGGTGGTTTGCTGCACCTATCCACCTGTCATCTAGGTTTAAGCCTCAAAGGCATTAGATATTTTTCTTAATGCTCTCCCTCCCCTTGGCCCACCCCTCAATAGGCCCCGGTGTGTGATATTCCACTCCCTTTGTCCATTTGTTCTCGTTGTTGTGCTCCCACTTATGAGTGAGACATGCAGTGTTTGGTTTTCTGTTCTTGTGTTAGTTTGCTGAGAATGATGGCTTCTAGCTCATCCATGTCCCTGCAAAGGACATGAACTCATTTTTTTTTAATGGCTGCATAGCATTCCATGGTATATATGTGGCACATTTTCTTTATCCAGTCTGTCATTGATGGGCATTTGGGTTGGTTCCTGTCATTGCTATTGTGAACAGTGCCTCAATAAACATGTGTGCATGTGCCTTTATAGTAGAATTATTTATTATCCTTTGGGTATATACCCAGTAATGGGATTGCTGGATCAAATAGTATTTCTGGTTCTAGATCCTTGAGGAATTGTCACACCATCTTCCACAATGGTTTAACTAATTTATAGTCCCACCAACAGTGTAGAAACATTCCTATTTCTCTGCATCCTCTCCAGCATCTGCTGTTTCCTGACCTTTTAGTAATCACCATTCAAACTGGTGTGAGATGGTATCTCATTGTGGTTTTGATTTGCATTTCTCTAATGACCAGTGATGATGAGCTTTTTTTCATATGTTTGTTGGCTATATAAATGTCTTCTTTTGAGAAGTGTCTGTTCATATCCCCACTTTTGGTGGGGTTTTTTCTTGTAAACTTGTTTAAATTTCTTATAGATTCTGGATATTAGTATTTTGTCAGATAGATTGTAAAAATCGTCTCTCATTCTGTGGGTTGCCTGTTCACTCTGATGATAAAAGTTCTTTTGCTGTGCAGACGCTCTTTAGTTTAATTAGGTCTCATTTGTCAGTTTTGGCTTTTGTTGGGATTACTTTTGGTGTCTCAGTCATGAAGTCTTTGCCCATGCCTAGGTCCTGAATGGTATTGCCCAGGTTTTCTTCTAGAGTTTTCATGGTTTTAGGTTTTACATTTAAGTATTTAATCCCTCTTGAGTTAATTTTTGTATAAGATATAAGAAGGGTTCCAGTTTCAGTTTTCTGCATATGGCTAGCCAGTTTTTCTAGCACCATTTATTAAATAGGGAATCCTTTCCCCGTTGCTTGTTTTTGTGAGGTTTATCGAAGATCAAGTGGTTGTAGATGTATGGTGTTATTTTTGAGGTCCCTTTTCTGTTTCATTGGTTTATATATCTGTTTTGGTACCAGTGCCATGCTGTTTTGATTACTATAGCCTTGTAGTATAGTTTGAAGTCAGGTAGCATGATGCCTCCAGCTTTGTTCATTTTGTTTAGGAGTGTCTTCATTATAGGGGCTCTTTTTTGGTTCCATTTGAAATAAAAAATTTTTTTTTCTAATTTTCAGAAGAAAGTCAATGATGACTTGATAGGAATAGCATTGAATCTATAAATTACTTTGGGCAGTATGGCCATTTTCACAATATTGATTGCAACAAGGGAAGTGAAGGACCTCTTCAAGGAGAACTACAAACCACTGCTCAAGAAAATAAGAAAAATTTTAAATTTCGTAAATTATACCTATTCATTTTTTAGATTTCCTTTATTACTGCTTAATAGACTTTGTAGTTAACCTGAAGATGACACATAAGAAAAATTTTCTGCTCCCAAGTTGGGATATATGATACAGCTTGATTTTTAAAAAAGCTTTTTATTTTGAACTAATTTCAAAAAATACAGAGAATTTCTATATACCTTTCACTCATTTCCTAATATTAATATGTTATATGTCTATACTACGATGATCAAAACCAGGAAATTAAGCTTGATATAATACTAACTAATCTGCAGGCTTTGAGTTTTACCAGTTTTCTCACTAGTGTCTTTTTTGGTCTGGTTCAGAATCTTATCCAGGATCCCGCACTGCATTTGATTTTCCTGTCTCCTTATTTTTTCCAATCTACAGTAGTTCTTAGTCTTTCTTGTTCTTTATAATCCATATATTTTTAATGAGTACTGACCCAGTGTTTTATTGAAGGATATTTGACATGGTTTTGTATGAATGTTTTCTCATTGTGATTTGTGTTTCTGGCCAGAATGCCATAATGCCATGGAGATGATGTGCTCTTTTCAGTGCTTCATATTAGAAAATACATGATTTCAGTTTGTGTTACTACAGATGATGTTAACTTTGTTCACTGGATTAAGATGGTGTCTTTCAATACAAAGTGGTGATATCTTCCTATGCAAAGTTATTGGGATTTTTTTCCTTTATAATTAATATCTTGTGGGCAGATACTTTGGGACTATTTGAACATCCTATTTCTTATAGTTTTGCCCATGAATTATAGCATTTCTTGATTCTTTATTAGTTGGAATTCTATAAGGAAGAGCTATACTTTTTCTCACTCACTCTCTTGTTCATTTATCTAAAATGCTTTATATTAGTATGAGCTCATGGGTTTTTTTTTTAATTGTATGTATATACATTATTATAATACTTACTTTGTTGCTCAAATTTTTGTAAATTTGGCTTTTATGAGTCCCTTCAGGTTGGTTCTTGTGTCTTTCTGGAATGCCACATTATTTTCTGAGAACTTCTCTATTTTCTGGCACCACAAAATATTCCAGGCTTGTCTTTAT